GCTTTTAGTTGATATTACCTCCCTAAGATGAACTAATAAGGAACATGGTAAAAAAGAAATAATCATTACAACAACTGCTACTTTATTCTACATACTTAACCTCTCTCTCTCTCTCCAATTCATCTGCTAACAGGTACATGTTTGTCCCACTTCATAATCATTCAACTGAGTTTCTTTGTTTATCAATTATCCTCAAACTTCTGTTTTTTTCCCTCTTTCATATCCCTTAAGAACTACCATCTTGTATGGCTATGTAAGCAAAGTTTCCAAATTGGGAATTGGGCTTTTTTTTTCTTCAGGATTTTGTTGGTTATACAACTTTCCCTCGTCTCTCACAGTTAAAACTGGTATAATTTTGATTATGGTCGATTCTATTTTCATGTTTAGGCACTTTTTGAGTTGACCATGGCTGCAATTTCTAAGTGTTTCTCATGTTGTGTTTCTTGTCTGTCATGGTAAGCATGGGAGAAAGCTTGCTGTTGTCTCGTTCTAAGACAGTGAATTATTGAAAGGAGAGATTAGCTCTGTCTGATTTTACAATGCCAGTTCCCCTTGCGCCGTATCCGACGCCTCCGGCGCCTTACTCTCCTCCTGCTGCCAATGGTATCTTGTTCTCTTCTCTTCTGTTCGGCAACAGATTTATCTTGAAACAATGTGAATTGTCCTTGAGAAACTCCAATTGGCTGAAATAAAGAGAGAGAAAAAAGGGTCCAAGCAATAAATATTACTTCCTGTGATAAAATTAGGAATGGCAAATCTAAATAGAATTTCTGTGATATCTGGTTCAGGGTGTCTGCTGCGGTTTTGTTTTGTTTCTTTTTCTGATATGCATGTTGCTGATGAATCTATCTTGGTGTATCTACAAAAGTTACTTTGTTTTCTACCTTGTCAACTGATCTTGTGACCAAATCTATGTCACCAGGTGCTCAAAGCCAGCTTGTCTGTTCCGGTTGTCGAAATTTGTTGCTCTATCCTGTTGGAGCAACCTCTGTGTGCTGTGCTGTTTGCAATGCAGTTACAGCAGTGCCGCCTCCCGGTAAATCGTCTGCTATTATCTTCCTAACTCTTTAAGTTTATGAAATCCCGAAACATTGAATCGACTGAATCTTCCTTCTGGAAGGCCCAAGTATAAAATGTAATTCGAAATTCTGAAACTACAGGCACGGAAATGGCCCAGTTGGTCTGCGGAGGCTGCCATACCTTATTAATGTACATCCGTGGAGCAACGAGTGTTCAATGTTCGTGTTGTCACACTGTGAATCTGGCCTTGGAAGGTATGTGTCAAATATTTTGATGTCAATTGAGAAACTATATTTGTTTTGGTGAAAGCTTCAAAATTCCCTTCGTTTTTCTGACAGCAAATCAGGTGGCACACGTAAATTGTGGGAACTGCAGGATGTTGCTAATGTACCAGTATGGAGCAAGATCTGTAAAATGTGCAGTATGCAATTTTGTGACATCAGTTGTGGTTAGTACACAATTTGTTCTCACTTACTGTTTATTCGTCTTTACGAGTGGTTGTCTTCTTAGCAAGGAATGAAACCGTACTATCTAATCATATAATCAGATTACACAGTTCCATTTTGCCTGTACTACAAACAAAACATGAACAATACGCGATAAGAAATTCACTTGCAAGATTCTATGCTCTAATCCCAGGTATATAATGCAGTCTAAGATCATTGCAGCAATAGGTAAAGTATAAGAGAGACAACCTGAGTTTTTCTTGCAAGTGTAACTATCCCAAGAGAAGAAATTGAAAGATTATACTTGTTAATCTCAGCCCTTTCTTATGTTTTCAGCTTGATATTTCGGGCCGATATAATAGTTTCATCCCGAGCCCTCTTTTGTAACCATTTCTTCCTGTAAAAGATTTCTTCTGTTTTGCAATGTGTTCACTGTTCTCTTGTGCCATTGATTGCTGCAGGGCTCAGCAAGCGCTGCTGAACAGAAGTTCAACAGCTAAGGTTACATTACACCCAAACTGATTGTTATAAGCTACAACTTTGTCTTTGCACATTACAAATATTGTCCTCTGCGTTTGCGTCCCATCGGCAAAATGGAGGAACTCCCTCCTCGCTTTGTATTGAGTTATTTTACCTTGCGTGACTTATGGAATAAGCAGTTTTGTGTAGCTGGTTGGAGCTGCCTGTAACAGTTTGAGCAATCGGTTATCTTCCGAATTCCGATAAGATAAACTTTGTTTTCGTTTACTTTGCTATGTATATGAGTGGCAATAAATACAGGGCACAAAGTTCATCTCTGATACTCCTTTTTTTTCCCCTCTGCAATTTTAATTGTCAAAGGTCTAAGTTCAGACAACTGTTTCATAGTCATTCATACAACATATATTGGCCCAAGAAAATTACACCGGGGACCATATAGATTTTTATAGAAAATGTTGAGGTGCATATTGTATAGAATCTAGTTGAATTAATGGTAGATGATGTGAGATGAAGTCAATTATAACTTCTTTAGAGTTCAGACTACAAACTTCAGAAAGAATTATTAGGAAAAGCAGGATAAGTCAAGATCAATCTTTTTAATCTGTGGTTCTTTAAGTCCTCCAGCTAGGATGATTAGTCATATTAATCATCAGGGGGAAGGATTTTCGAGAGAATCCCGATATTAAACCTTCGGTGAGCACCGGATACAACCCGAACATGAAAGCCTCTTTCTTCATGTGAGTTCAATTATATCTTCAGACGTCATAATAAATACTTTGCAAACATTGTTTACTTTCTGATAGACATCATATATCTGGAAAAGATTTTCCAACCCAAATGCTTTTTGCAGTTTTACATGCCAAGATGTTTATGTTCTCAGAAACACCCTAAAGATGTCGCTGTCAAATCTCATAGATCAAACTATAATATCCATGGGGCATATTCTCTAACTGATAAAGTTGAGACACATTTAAGTGGCCAAAGCTATTGTTATCTGCAGAAGCAAAAGCACCAAAGTTTTGGGTCTACTGACCATGACTTTGTCTCGGTAAATCACGCCCCATCGGACCGATGCCGATGGTGAGGTCTCATAGACCTATCTTCACTTGGGTGGGGACTTAGAACAAGGACAGTAGAGGCTGTATTTATGGGTAGATGGTCCATATGACTCAGGTATAGACCCACAGCACCTTCACCTTTCTTTAAGGGGGGACAGGTTGTAAAGCTACATTAGCTCTTGAAGGCACAAGTTCTTTTCCAATTAAGCTGATAATTGAGTTACCAGAAAGTGAAATGCAGCTGCAGTCAGAATTCCTAATAATGGTACCTAAAGAATAACATCATGAGCTTAAAGATTCCTATCTGAATTAACTGATATTCGCAATCGATCTCTCGAAGCAAGACCTCTCAGTGTCTAAGCTGTACTGGTGATTCCATTTAGATGTTAATATTTCAGCCCCATAATCAAAATTAATCTTTTAAACTTCCCTATCAGGTGGTCCTTTATAAATCCTATCTCCTAAGATACATGGTCCAAGGATTTTACAGCTGGAGCCAGGAGCAAAAGCTAATGTATACATGAATAATTGAATATCGAATGTGCCTAGCTACATAATAAAGAAATTAACACTGCTAAAGCTTTGAAAACTTATAAGGATAGCATTAAACTCATTCTATTTGTTGTTTTCGTTCTCTGACATGTTTTGCCAAACTGATCTGAATTTGACATGTCCATGCCAGTCTAAGCATTGAACAATAAAAGCAGGAGCGAAGATAGGTATAGAATTTCAATAAGTTTTGAAGAACTTTAATGAGATCCTTCTACTTTTCCCCCTCGTTTACTCTCCAACCGCGTCAAAGAGTTAACTGTTAAGCACACTTACTCCGGTACGATCAAGAAGGCAACACATTTGGCAATTAGATTAGTATGAAGATATCGATTATGCAAATCGGTAGGGGTGAGCAAGACTCGACTCGGCTTAAAAAAAGTCTTTTTCTACTTGACTCAATGTTAAAAACCTTGACTTGAATCGAAAAGAAAAATCAAATAAAGTTTGAATTATAAAATAAGAATTGAATAACTCAAAACTTTTAGTAATTAGTAGATTATTTTTTAAGTTCGAGTCAAGTCTCTTAACTGTGCAAGATATATATATCACACAGGAACGAATGCATATGGCTCCATAGGGGACCACCCATTATTTTAGATTAGATATTAAATATAATTCAATATATTAAAGGAAGAAAATATATTAAACGAAGAAGAAAAAAATAAGAAATTTTGCATACCCATTATATTGGAAAAAAATTTAAAATTTTTAGAGTCTTATTTCTAAATTTCTAGATTCGCCACTGATATCACATATGAATATATATACATATACCGTATATTGTTATAAAAATTGTTTAAATTAAAATCAATTAATGTCATAACATTTTAAGCATTTACAATTAAATTTAAATAGAAACTCGAACAATTCAACTTGAATTTCATAAACTTGGCTCGAAAAAAATTTCAAATAAAGTTTAAGTTATAAAATAGATTTGTCAAGTCGATTAATTCAAAATTTAACTCGACTAGATCAAATATTCACCCTATAAACTAGAAAGACAAAAATGAAATTAAGTAATTTTCATACTTAAGTAAGCATATACACAAGGACCTTTTAAAGTGCTTGCTAACTTCATCTGGATAGACATTTTGGTTGTGTCAGAAACTTGGAAATGGATTTGGTCTTAGGTGTCGATTAAGTATTTACATAAAATTGGTAGGATTGCATCCTTGTCGTTCATTCCTAGTATTCAATCAAGTGTCCAAAAATCTCCCACCAAAAGATCTTAACCAAGGTCATGCTGTATAACCTATACAAAAACGAGTTCATTATCGGAATATCTTCAATCAAAAGCTTCGGCAGGCATCTAGACGTCCTTGCATTATCTCTCGCTCCCTGTCTACCCTCAGTTATTTCATCATCCTTTTCTATTTAAACACGATGAAACAGTCCTTCAAGGGGTAGCTAATGTACCAAGAATCATTTCATGTAGAGACAATGGACATGCAAACGATCTATTACGGACTATGGCAGATACAACTAAAGAATCAATCATAGTATGCCAAAAAGAACTGCTGAAAATGCTAAATTGGCACAGGGAAACACACATTGAAGAAGTTAAGACCACTATTCACTGAGTCATAATCACAGATTCACAGTACTTTATGGGGGAGGAGCAAAATTAAGGCAACTGATATAAAATGACAAGATAAAGAATCCGCTGCAGGCTTTACATGGTTTATGCTCATCTTTAACTGATAAAATGTAAGCAGCTTATTCATCACCCAGGGCTAGCTCCAACGCATAGTCATCCCGTTCCTGCCAAAGTTCAACAAATACAAATATACAATTTTAAGACCATTTCAAAAGAGTTGAAAGAATTAAGCAGTAAATCCTGAAAGAGGCAATAGCTGTGCATCAGCTTAGCTCCTTTTCAGCTATCCTTTTGTCTTCAACTACTAGTTGGATATTTGAAATGTACAAAATTTTCAGAACTTGTGGGCTTACAATTGGTCCTCGAGCAAAATATCTTCCAAATTGAAGCCAGTACACCTGCACACACCCGTAAACTCAAATTATTTTTGACACTTATGCTGATGAAGACACATGAAAATGCCCCTATCACAATATATTCGAGGCATATGATGTGGCAATCTGCCTTTGACTTGTTTGCAATGCCTTCATTAGCTTAACATACAAAGAGAGGATAGTGACTCTACTAAATAGATAGGTAGGGTTTTACACATTACCTCATCCTCATCTTGTGTTTCCACTTCAACATCAGAAGATGGAAACCCCACACAAAGAAGCGCATACCCCTGCATTTAGTTCCCAAAAATAAGAAGAAACTAATATACAGTAAACTCCAACACTAAACAGAACATGCAAGAAGTTTAACATGAGGTAGTATAATATATTTAACCACATGATGCAGTTAATTTAATATATGAATGGTCATAGCTAGCAGTTCACTCATGATTGTTAAAGAGGAGAAAGTCCCTCATCATCTAATTTAAGACTGAAATGGACATTAAAACCAGTGTGGCATCTGTGACTGAAGTTATGACCTACAGAAATTTCAGCAAAATTTAACATCAATGTGAAGAAGTCTACTTCCAAATTATGCTAGTATACTCTTAATCTGGTTAATCTAAATAATCAAACCAATGTCGTGAATACTCTTCTGTTCACATTCACATTAAACATTATTTTTCAGTTGATACCTCTCCTGTTGGTGAAATGACTATGATTCTTAAAGTTGCAATGACTTGATTTCATATAGAAACCTATGATATGGTAAATCTGATGACTAGGACATGAAAATATGATGAAAAAACATTAAAGGTTCTAATACAACAAAAGAGCTCTCTGTTTTGATTTGAAACTAAAGTGCCAAAAAATTAGCAAAACAAGCAAATGAAATTCAGAAATCAGAAACATAAAAGCCATGCCTTTGCTTTCAGTTCAGCAGATATCCCAAGAGCTTCAGGCTGTCTTATTTGTCCAGACTTTACTCGTACCGCACAGCTAGTACAGCAACCTGCCATGTAAAGGAACTATTTGTCATAAACAATTTCATCCAATGAACAAATATTAACATTCAAAACAGCCTAAAACTCCAATAAGCTAAAGGCTAAAGCTCAATAGCAGTATCTTAAGGATATGACGCAAAACTCGAAACATCGATAAATGTGACACATTTACCACATTAAAAACAGAACTTATTCGGATTTTAAAGAACAATACCGTGCCTGCAAGCGAATGGAAGTGTAATGTTTTGAGCTTCAGCCGTATGTAAAATATACTGGTCCTGCAATTTCAATCAAATATCCCTAAATGAGTCTCTATTCAATCATTTAACTAAGTTGTTCTAACGAATAAACTGCAAGCCTAACAAATAAAAATGCAAGGCCTAATTTTCTTTTACTAATTGATAATTAATTGTCCTATTCCAACTGCCAAATAGGTCAATCGTTTCTTCGGCATTTTCTCAGGAAACAAACAGAGTGAAGCGCCGTACCTCAGGAACAACAAACTCGTGAACGACACCTTGTTTTCTGTCGTGGACGGTGACTTTATGAGTAGGAATTGAAGGGAAAGGATTACCGTTCGTGCTGGTAACGCTCACCGGCGACTGGAGCTCTGACGTAGTCTTGCGTCGGCATGTGAAGGAAAAAGCGCCGCGTTTAGGAGATGAGAGTCGCTGTCGAAGTGGCGTTTGCGGGTAGAGAGAAGTGCAGGAGTTGCAGGGAACAACGACAAGGTCCATTGATACCGGGTTCAGAATCTAAGCACTTATTGGTCACGACGAGATAAAGTAACTAAAAGGAAAGATCCGGGGTTACATATCCTAGTTTCCTTTGTACGCAGATTTTGTAAGACCTGTATTTTCTATCGTTGGATTTGAAGTTATGGATTTGAAGTTATGGATTTGAAGTAACAAAAAGGAAAGAGGGTAACATATCCGAGTTGAAATGCTCAAGACTTTCTTTTTGGAGTTAACTACACCATAAGTCCCTAATCTATGACCCTCATTTCAAATTAATCCCTAAACTTTTAAACATTTCAATTTTATTCTTAAACTATGACTATCGTTCTAAATCAATTCTTAAACTTTTAAACATTTCATTTTCATCCTCAAACTGTGATCTTCATTCTAAATTAGTCCCCAAACTTTTTGAATATTTCAATTTTATCCTAAATTATACGTATATACTAATCACATATCTTGTTCATAAAATCATTAGGCCAAGTTATATTATTATTATATGTTTGAAAAAACAAATTTTGGGTTAAACTATGGTTGAAATGGATAACATATTTGGATGAATTTAGGGATGAAATTGGAAAATCTAAAAGTTTTGGGATCAATTTAGAATGATATTCATAGTTTGGAGATAAATTCGGAATTTTCAAAATTTTAAAGACTAATTAAGGATGAGAGACATAGTTTACGGATGAAATCGAAATGTTTAAAAATTTAAGGACTGATTTAAAATGAGAATAATAGTTTAGGGACATATGAAAATTAATTATACGTATATACCAATTACATATCTTTTAAGCATGTTTAAAACTGTTATGATGGGAGGAAAATTAATAACATAAAATATTTTTTTTTATTTTTTAGTATTTGATTGGTGTAATGATTTTATTTGGCGTTTTTCCAAATATATCACCTATACCCTATATATATTTCCCTGTCAGGCACCATTCGGACTATATTTCCCGATCTAACACCCTTTGCAGTAAGGTGCGCCCCTGCAGCGCGCTTTACGCTGATCTGGTGCCATGTGGGGTAAAGCGTGCCCCCTGCAGAGCGCTTTATGTTGACGTGCCTAATGCGCGGCCCATGGGGGGCGCCTTATGCCACGTAGGGCTATAGTGCGGAGTAGGGGCCGCGCTTTTCAATTGTCACATGCTCAATTATCATACATGCATAATGCAAGGCGCGGTGCAGGGACGCGCCTTGCATAATTTACCCGAACTTCTCGGCTTTAAAGCATCATCTCTCGGCTATAAATAGCTCTCTTCCCGTAAACTCTCTCACAATTCCCTCTCAACCAAGAAATTAATACAACAATCCTTTCAACCAGTAAATAACACCCGACAATCCTCTTATATTTGATTCAGAAGTTCCTTTGACCTTTTGTTGTAAGGTAACTTTGTTATAATATTTTTTATTATACTTATTGTTTATTATGATTATTTAAAAAAAAATATTATACTAATTGTTTTCAATTAATTTCTGTGTCAGTTCAAGGGGAAAGCGGGAGCATACGTCGAAATATTTTTACGGTGCAGGTAATAATATAAAATTATATTATTTAAATTATTTAAGTTTATGTGTAAAAATTTTATTGTGTTATATTTTCGTTCATTTATTATTTATTTAATTAGGTTTGTTTCAGTTGTTTTTTTGTATATATAATATTGTCGCACTTTTAAACTCTAAGAATGACGCGACTTTCAGCTATTGTTTATTATTATGGAGAAATTTGAGAAGATGAAACCGACGTTGTTTTCATATCAAATAAGCGTGTTAAAATATCATTCAAGATAAACATAACTCTTGAGGAGCTGATAACGAAGATTTCGAGGAAGGTTCATGTTGGAAGTAGTAGAAGAATGTCGTCGTTGCAGTACAGATTTCCAACATTATTGTTGTCATTAACTTATACAGCGTTCAAACTATCGAACAATGATGATGTTGAAATGATGGTTGATTCTCAAAGTAATTATTCAGACGCCGATATTAAGATGTATGCAAAGTTTGTTCAAGTGCGTGCTATTCGGGGTCAGTCATTAAGCTCCCACTATGGGTTGGCTGAACAAGTTGACAGCCCGACTACAGTAATGTGTAATGATATTAATTTCATAATGGTAAATCTGCATCATGGTACTGTCACATCAACTTCAATGAGGAGACATTCACCCGCAACTCCTTACGATATGTATCGAGGTGGGTCCACGAACAATCCGTATGACAACATCACGTCCAGTTCAATGGGAAGGCATTCATCTGCAAATTTCTTTGACCTTAATATGGAGATGCCATCGAAGCAACAATCTGTTCAGTTTCCATTTGACACGATAGCTTCAAGCTCCAGGGGGAGGCATTCAACTGTGAGCTTTTTCGATCTCAATGTCGATATGCCTTCTAGTTCAAGGGGAAGACGTGCAAGTAGTAGGTTCTTTGACCTAAATGTAGAGAGCATGGAGGAACCATAATCTCCACCAGAAGAACCGCTTCGTGAGCCTGGTGCGGATGGTGCTGAGACTGGACTATTCATTCACCCAGAATCACCGCAATTCATTTCTGATGATGATGATAATATAGATGAAGTTCCATCAAATGTGTCACAAACTGACCCTCCAGCATACATGTATGAAGCTAATTATGGTGTAATGTACGGGCCATAATTTACTGATATGCCTCATCTTGGTAACTATGGATATTACTCATCAATAAATAATGGTGAGTTATCTTTAGGCATGGAATTTTCAAGCAAATAAGAAGTGATGATGGCTATAAAAAATTACAATATCCGTAATTCTGTTCAATCGACGGTCGACCGCTCCACGACAGAAAAATATGTATACTACTGTGTCTGACTCAAAAACGGATGCAATTGGATGGTTCGCGTATCGAAGAGGAAAAACAACAGATGAAAACTAATAGTATACAACGGTCCTCACACATGTTGTGCTGGAGGGGTCAACCAAGATCATCCCAACTTGGACTCTGAAGTGATATGTCAAGCAATCATGCCCATGGTAAAAGTAAGCTCTCATATAGTTGTTGTTGTGTTGATTTCAGCTATACAATCGCAATATGAGTACACTGTCTCCTATAAAAAAGCTTGGTTGACAAAACAAAATGTCATTGTCAAACTTCATGGCGAATGGGATGCATCTTACAACGAACTTCCAGGCTGATTTAGGTTGGTGCGGAGGTTGAATCCTAGGACAATTGTGGACTTCGAAACCTCCTATGCATACCATAATGATCAAGTTCTTCGCGATCAATGTCAATTCTACCGGGTTTTTTGGACTTACCCACAGTGCGTTAATATTGTCAAATATTGCAAGCCTGTGGTCCAGATCGATGGGACTTTCTTGTATGGAAAATACAAGCAAGTTTTATTATTGGCAGTTGTCCAAGATGGCAATCACAACATTCTTCCAGTTGTTTTTGCTCTTGTTGAAGGAGAAGATACATATTCTTGGGTTTTTTCCCTCTGAAACTTACGTGCACATGTTATCACGAGGGAAAAAATATGTGTCATTTCAGATCGCGAAGCTGGGATCAAAGCATCAATGGAGTCTTTGGGTCCAATGTGGCAACCACCCTTTGTCCAACATAGGTATTGTCTCCGACACATTGTTGTGAACTACCATGGAAGGTACAAGAAGAATGATGAGCGTCAATTAATTGTGCGTATGGGTAAGTGAAACTGATGTAGTTTGTTTTCTTTCGATCATTTTAATTTTGCAAAGAAAACAAGTTAATAAGTTATACATTTTTTGATCAGGTTACGAACTACTTCCTCAAACGTTTAAATAAATGCTTCAAGATTTACGGGCGAAAAACGAGGAAGGATACGATTACATCAGCATCATCGATAAAGAAATGTGGACGAACGCATATGATGATGGATATCAATATGGACAAATGATGACCAACTTGGCTGAGGTAATCAATTCAACCTTAAAGGGTGCACGTCACTTACCTGTAGCGGCTTTGGTAAAAACTACATATTTTTGTTTGGGGGCGGTTTTTTCGAAGCTCGGGGGACAAGCTCAAACATGGATGCAAGACGATCATGTCTATCACCCTAGATTAGTTGCAGATCTACAAAAAAAATTATTGCATCAAATGGAATGTTTGTCACAAGCTTCTCTAGAAGACATAAAATGTTTCGTGTCACATAGTTGTCGCGACCTCTTCAAGGGATTGAAGATATGTCGTTAAGAGTAAATCTACGGGACAGAACGTGCGACTGCAGGTTTTTCAAGCTCTGAAGTATTCATGCTCTCATGTGATAGCATCTTGCTCACATACACATCAAGACTATAACTGTTTTGTGGATCCCGTATACCTACTATCTGAAGTTTTTAAGGTATATGAATTTGAGTTCCCCCCATAGGTAATGACAAAGACCCCGATGAGGTTCATTATTGACTTTCGATTGTACCAAATCCTACTTTATTGAGGGAGTGTGGTCGTCCAAAATCCAATCGAATTCACTGTGATATGGATATTCGAGAAAGATCTAGACAAGAAGATGTGTGCATTGTAGAAACTCAGGACACACTAGAAAAACATGTCCACTTATGCTGTCATCAAGTAACAATTGATGAGGAACTGATGTAGTTGTTTATCAAATAATAATTTTTGTACTTTAATTTGCATTTACTTAAAGTTAATGTCATTCGATAACCGCTGATGAAGATTAAAAAAACGATACAAGAAAACGAGATTAGACGTTGGCGTTATATGTGATTATAATAAAAGAGATAATAAGTGACAAACTGAAGAAAGTTATCGAACACAATTATTAAATTTTATCAAACTAATAACAATTTGGTATTTGAATATAATTTTAAATACAACAAACTCACAATAAGTATTAAATGGTATATGATAACCAAATTACAATAACTGATATTAAATGGTAATAAACAAAATTAACCAAAATACATTAACAAAAAGTCCAACAAATTTAACAAAATAAATTAAAATAAATCCAACCAAATTAACGAAATAAAGTATTAAATGATAAATAAAAAAAATTACAATAAAAAAGTCCAATAAACAACTAAATACAAATATAATAAAAAAAATCTATCGATGCCTGCGATGCAA